TGCATGGTCCCCAGAGGAGCATCACTGAGTTGTCCCATCAACTTGAAAAAAGGCAGAAAACAATGACAAGGTGCCATGTCACTTATTTTGCTATAAACCTCTGGAATCTAGATGAGAAATTATATCAGCACTGGGGAAAGCAGGTACACATTGGATCTGGCTGTAAATGTTTTGAGGGCCACACATTTATGTTGTTGAGAAATGATTTTCCTGTTAGTGTGGATTATTCGTAAAGAGCCTCAATGCTTGCAATATAATGTTAGTCCTCATCTTGTACAACTTTTTGCCCAAATTTATGTATTTGCTTTTCTAAAAAATTAAAAGTGTGTTTATTTAAGGAGTACAGTCTTCATGCATTTCATAAGTGCAACTTTAGTATTATAATGCTTCTTCCCACCATAACTGCTCTCACATCCACTTTCCCATCCCTCCTCCTCCTCCACCCTCTCCCGTTCCCAGTCCTGTTCTTCAGTAAGATCCATTTTTGCTTAACTTTATACACAGAAGACCAACTGTATACTAAGTAAAGAGTTCAAAAATTTGCATAGGAAAAAACAAAACAAAACAAAATAAAACCTGTTCCTCAACAGTTGAGACAAGGGCTGCTCAAAGTCATTACATCTTGATGTTAATTTCACTTCTTCTTTTTTTTAGAAATGGTTAACTTTAAAGAAGCACCCAAGATGCATCTTTTGAGAGCACTTAGAGAGGCCAGAAGGCCTGGCGCCGTGGCGCAGCAGGTTAAAGCCCTGGCTTGAAGTGCCAGCATCCCATATGGGTGCCAGTTCTAGTCCTGGCTGCTCTTCTTCCAATCCAGCTCTCTGCTGTGGCCTGGGGAAAGCAGTAGAAGATGGCCCAAGTCCTTGGGCCCCTGCACCCATGTGGAAGACCCGGAAAAAGCTCCTGGCTTCTGGCTTTGGATAGGCATAGTTTTGGCTGTTGTGGCCATCTGGGAAGTGAACCACCAGATGTAAGACCTCTCTCTCTGTCTCTATCTCTTTCTGTAACTCTGTCTCTCAAATAAATAAAATAAATATTTTAAAAAACAGCACTTAGACATAATTATAATGCAACCCTTTGAGGAAAGAGGTCCTGCATGGGGCATTTAGTGCACAGTGACTCTTATTGTTAACTTAACAATTAATATTCTTATGTATGACATCAGTGATCACCAGAGGCCCTTGACATGAGCTATCTAGACTATGGAAGCCTTTTGAATCCACAAAGTCCATCAGTGTTTAGACAAGGCCATAAGCAAAGTGGAAGTTCTCTCTTCCCTTCAGAAAAAAGTACCTCCTTCTTTGATGACCACTGGGGTCTCACCCATTGAGGTACTTCATGTAGGACATTTTTTGCCACAGCATCTTGGCTTTCCATGCCTAAAATGTTCTCATGGATTTTCCAGCCAGACCAGCATGCCTTAAGGGGCTGATTCTGAAGTAAGAATACTATTTAAAGTGATTATCATTCATTGAGTCTGCTATTTGGACAGTTTCCCATGTTGGAGAATTCACTCCTTTTTAACTCTGTTGTTATTACCAGACCCTTAATCCTATCCATGTGATCACTTTAACACTTAAGATAGTATTTTTACCACGTAGCTTAAGGAGATTTGGGGTCCCTTGGCAAGTTCTTAAACTATACCTTTAAGGGCTGGTGCTGTGGTACAGTGGGTTAACACCCTGGTCTGAAGCGCTGGCATCCCATATGGGCACTGGTTTGAGACCTGGTTGATCCATTTCCAATCCTGCTTTCTGCTATGGCCCGGGAATGCAGTAGAAGATGGCCCAAGTACTTGGGCCCCTGCACCCACATGGGAGACCTGGAAGAAGCTCCTGACTCCTGGCTTCAGATTGGCACAGCTCCGGCTGTTGTGGCCAATTGGGGAGTAAACTAGTGTATGGAAGACAGCTCTCTCTCTCTCTCTCTCTCTCTCTCTCTCTTTGCCTCTCTTTCTCTCTCTGTGTCACTCTGACTTTCAGATAAATAAATACATCTTGTAAAAAAAACCTGTACCCTTAGAAGTAAGTCCATAGAAATGTATGCAGAGCTATGCAGCTTTACAGTTACAAACTTCATACACTTCATAATTACAACTTTAGGAACATGGTGATTTTTCCCAGTGTGCCCACCCTCCCACCTATATTCCCAACACCTCTTCCTCCTCCCTCTCTTATTCTCAGTCTTATTTTTTTTACTGAGATCTTTTTTTTTTTTTGAATTGTATTTATTTATTTGAAAGACAGAGTTACAGAGAGAGGTAGAGCCAGAGAGAGAGAGGTCTTCCATTCTGCGGATATACTCCCCAAATGACCACAACAACCAGAGCTGAGCTGATCTTAAGCCAGGGCCAAGAGCCTCCTCTGGGTCTCCCATGCAGGTGCAGGGTCCCAAGGACCTGGGCCATCTTGTAGCGCTTTCCCAGGCCATAGCAGAGAGCTGGTTTGGAAGAGGAGCAGCTGGGACTCAAACTGGCACCCATATGGGATGCCAGCATCGCAGGCTGGAGCTTTAACCCGCTGTGCCTCAGCACCAGCCCCTGAGATTTATTTTTCAGTTGACTTTATACACGTTTAACTCTATGCTAAGTAAAGAGTTCAACAAATAGTATTTAAAATAAAAACCATTCCTCAACAAGGACTATTCAAGACATTGCTTCTCAAAGTGTCAATTACACTTCTACAGATTGCCTTTTAGGTACTTTAATACATTTGGTTTTAAATGAGTCAACACTATTTTTCTTCTCTGTGCTTGAGAATAAAATCTCCATCTGTTGGAAGCCAGGTCCTATTGAGCGAGGTATATCTAAAGTATCTGGCACACTTTAGGTAATTAATTGTGCCAGCAACAACAAGAAGAGCAATAGTATCAATGGTCAACATTGTATCTGGATTACTAAATGTCAGAGCCATTTTATACTGTTATGTATTTTTATATTTTAACTGACAGATAAAAATTATGTATTTATAAGGTGCCATGTAAAGTTTCAATACATATGAACATTATGCAATTTTCAAATCATGATAAAATATTTATATTTTCAAACACATTTCTTTACAGTAAAATATTGCAAATCTATATGCATTATCATTAATCTATCTGCACAATAGAACATCGGATCTTATCTGTTACTATAACTATGCATACCTATTTGTCAATATTTTCTTATTCCTCCAATTCCATCCTTTCCCTGGCTTCCGGTAACTGCCATTTTACTTCCAACTACTATGAGATCAGGTTGGCTAGACTTCTCATGTGAAGCAAATCAGACACTAATTGCTTTTCTGTGACAGGATTATTTCACTTTATGTAGTAACAGAAGTTCTCCCCTTGTCGTTGCAAATGACATGACTTCATCCTATTTCTTGAATGGACATTTAAGTTGCTCCCATTTCTTGGAATGTACACTGAATGCAGATGTCTCTTTGACAGACAGGTTTCATTTTATTTTGATGCTAGAGGCATTTTCAATGTTTTAGCTATATTAACTATTTTTCTTTTCTTTTTTTTTTTTTTTTGCACTTACTCCCCATGTGGGATCTCTGCCCTTAATGTATTGTCCAATGTGAAGTAATGCTATAACTTGTACTGACACAGGATTTTACACTTTGTGTTTCTGCGTGGGTGCAAACTGATGAACTCTTTACTTAATATATACTAAACCGATCTTCTGTATATAAAGAGAACGTTCAACAACTGTTTACTGAAAGCAAATGCATTTAACTAGGTGGGCTAGCCTTGGGAAGATAGGCTGTGATTCACGATGTTTCCATGAGTGATTATACACCACACATTTCAAAAAAAAAAAATTTGGAGGCTGTTTTAATTTGATGTGTCTAATTGTGAAAAGCCAAAAAGATAATTATCCTTTTAGATACTTTTAAAGAAGGATACACTAATTTGCAAGGGGCACGGGTTCTTCCTAGATCTGTTCCTCCACCGCGATAAAATATGAGTTAGAATTCACAACTTAGAAAAGTGTGACATGAATAGACCTCAGCTAATTTCAGTGCAGCAATGATTGCTGTTTTTGAGACGACATGAAAAAAAATTTTTTAAATGTGGTTCCTACAGCAGTCAATTGGTTTCCAAGAAATTCTTTCATTGTCAAAAAAAAAAAAAAATCCACAAAATTCTATAATAGAGCCACCCAACGATAAGGAGCATAATCCAAAATGAAACCGGACCAGGTCGATGACCCGCTCCCGAGGTGCAGCGCTGACGGGTTCGTCATTGATCATGACAATTTGATCCCCTGGGATCAGCTTGCCTTCCGAAGGGCCACCTGGAGTGACCCACCGCACGACCGCCGGCTTCTCACTTCCTGCCACGAAGCCGAGTCCCAGGACGGGGTCCCTCCGCATCTCCACCTTGCAAGGAGCCGGAGGGAGGATTTGGCAGCTCTCCAACCGCGGGTCGTCAAACGGGATCGCCTGTGTCACGTGACTCTTGGCGATCCTCACGAAGCTGAAGACGTCCATGCGGGCGGCCGCTCCCCCCCCCGCCCATTCCCCCCCGGGTCCCCCCCAGGTCCGCTCCTCACGCCCGCGCCATGGCCGGGACCTCTGCGAGCCCGGGAGCGGCTGCACCTGTGCCGGCGCCCGCGCGCACAGAGAGACACAGGGGCGGGGGTGGGGTGGGGGGAGAGAGACCCGGGCGCCCCTTCCCCCGGGCACTGTGCCCCCACCGGGAGCAAAAAAAAAAAAAGAGGCCCGCCCTGGGGGGGCGGGGGCGGGGGCGGGGGCGCTGCTGCCCCCCAGCCCTGGGCCCCCTGCGCGCACGCACGGAGCAGCGCGTGCACACGGAGCCGGGCGGTCGGGCACGGGCGCACGCAACCCCTCCCTCCCAGCACTGCCTATATTAACTATTTTTCTTACAGTATACACGATAGAGTTGGTGTAGTGATATGAGATTAGATTTAGTCATGTCTATGACTATTGAAATCTATTTCGTCATTATCTGTTGTATGAACTCTTAAAAGCATCTTAATTCTCACCTTTTCCGTAACTGTACCTCTAGAAAATATAATTTAATTACTGCATCTTCAAGACTGTTTTCTTTTAGAAGAAAATCCAGGGCTGGTGCTGTGGTGTAGCCCATAGTGCCGGTATCCCATTTGGGCACTGGTTCAAGTCCCAGCTGCTCCACTTCCAATCCTGCTCTCTGCTATGGCTTGAGAAAGCAGTAGAAGGTGACCCAAGTCCTTGAGTCCCTGTACCTGCATGGGAAGACCTGGAGGAAGCTTCTGGCTCCTGGCTTCAGATCGGCACAGCTCTGGCAGTTGTGGCTAACTGGGGAGTGAGCCAGCAGATGGAAGACCTTTCTCTCATTTGGCTGCTTAAACCAGACAGAATAATAGGTACATAGGAAGGAGGAAATAGAAGTCCTCCACCATACTTCTCCAGTAAGTAGGCAGGAAAGCCACGAAGACTGTACACAAGGGGTATTTCCAGAAGCTCAGCCAGCAGCTCACCACAGGGAGCAAAGGCGTCTGCAAGAACAACATCAAACCTCGATTCTTGAAGCTTGGTCATGAGTTTCTTATTCAAAACTACTTCTTTGCAGAGACTTTCATAAACATCAGAATATGCTAAAATAAACTCTTGCATTGCTGGAAAGTGCTCCCAATATATATCAAATGACACATTATATATCAACTGATTGATCCAGTACATGAAAAAAGTTTCCACTTCATCTTTGGTGAAATTTGTAGGAAAAGTTTCAAATTGAATTCCAGATTTGCTGTTGGAACTAATGACAACAGAAGCTGAAGATCTCAGGACAGTGACTTCATGGCCTCGCTGGATAAGTTCATCCAAAATTGTCTTCAAATTCATCCAATGACTGAATTCCATAGGCCACACCAGCACCTTCCCACAACTCCCAGAATGGAAGTAACAACTCAGTGGTAGAAGCAGCAGCAGAACTGAAGTGTGTTTCACAGACATCCTGCTGAAATGCATTGCTTTCTTTCCAATTGCTGTCCCTTTCTGGAGCTCCTCGTGCTTATGTCTATGAAGAAATTTATCATGTAGTTAAAGTATAACTTGCATTGATCAAAGTGAATACATCGTATGAACAGTCAGACCTGTGGACTGGTGTGACAGGAGGATAAAGTCAAGTTAGAGGATCTCCCGTTCATACAGAATCTCTCTTTTAGAATGAGAGAGACAAGATACATCTTCCATCCTATAGTTTACTCCCCAAAAGACCACAATGTCCAGGGCCAGCCAAGCTGAAGCCAAGAGCCTGGAACTCCATTTGAGTTTACTGTGTGAGTGGCACAGCACCCAATTATTTGGGCCATCCTTCTCTGGCTTCCCAGGTGCATTAACAGGGAGCTGAACTAGAAATGAGGCAGCTGGGACTCGTACTGGTGCTCTGATCTGGAATACCAATGTTGCAGGCAACAGTTTAATTTGCTGTGTCCCAGTATTGGCTCACAGAGTCTCTTTTATGATTAAGTACTTTCATCTGGATCACAGTTGAATAAATGTATGTGTAAGGCAGCTCCATTATGTAACAGATTTTAGAATAGGGCCCATAACAGTGGCAAGTGAGAGGTGACTTGCGTCTACAGTCTCTGTGAGATAGAACAAAAGATAAAGTTATTAAACAACTGATCCACATTTCTTAGCATGATTCAAGGTATTTTTGGGTAGAAATTTTGGTAATTTACATATATCCATATCACCAATGCAGGAGGTATAATTCAATCTCTTTTTCTTATTTTTATTTATTTAAAAAGCACAGTTACACAGAGAGAGGGAGATAGATATAGAGATATATTTTCCAATCACTGAATCACTCCCCAAATGGCTGAAATGGCCCAGGCTAGGTCAGACCCCTGGGTTTCCCACATGGATGCAAGGGCCCAAGCACTTGCTCCTCTGCTGCTTTGACAGGCATGCTAAGAAGGAGCTGGATGGGAAGTGGAGCAGTTGTGACTTGAATTTGAGCCCATATGGATTGCCAGAGTTGCACTTGGCAGCTCCATCTGCCGTGCCACTATGCCAGCCCTAATTCAATGTTTTATCGTATACTCAAACAAGCATGTTTCTACAATCACTATCAATTTTTGAGTATTTCATCACTTCAAAAGAAGCCCTGTTCCCTTTATCCTTTGTGCCACCAATTCAGTTTCTGATTCTTAAAGACCTGGTCAAGTACTAATTTGCTTCCTGTTTCTATATATTTGCCTATTGTGCACATTTCATGATAATGGATTCATATAGTGTTTGGGGCAGAGACATTGACATGTCTCTGTGAGTGACATGGCTGCTTATGAAGTAAGTATATAACCAATTTTCTTAGGTTGCTTCGCCCATCATGGGACCCAATCTTTGAGTGGAGGTAGGATAGTAGAGTTCAGTGCCTGAATAGGACTTCTATACTAGGAATACAACTGGAGACCCTTCTTGACCACACTTGTCTGGAAGCTAGCATGACATATGGCAGACCTGTGTTTGTAAGACAGCAATGCTGTTACCCTCAATCTTTCTAACAGGTGGTACAACTGATATCACAACTTCAACTGTCGGCTGCAAGCAGGAGTTTGGTGTTATGATCTGCATCTACCTGCACTGAAATTGTTCTAACACTGTGCTAGGAAGGTGAGAGAGGAGCAGGCTGGGAATTAAATGCAACAGGCTCTCACTGCTTTTACCAAGTCATCGAATAATTCTCTCCCTCTCTCTCAAATTTTATATGCCTTTAGAAAGATTCCAAGATTTATTCATTGATCACACTTTAAAATAATTTTTACTAGTTATTCCTATTTCAAAAATAGGAGCTGTTTTGGGAGCTGTTCCATGGTGAGTCTCATCTGGCACTGAGAAGTGGCCATTTCAAAGTTTTCTTGTCAACTTTCTTTCTGTGGCTTAAAAGTTGGGTGAATTCAGGTTTTTACTTGCATTAGAATCTTTAATGTTTTCTCAATAGATTCATTCATAAATAATTAAAATAGATACTTGAAATATAAAATAGTTGCCTTAAAAACAGTTTCCAAATGAATCTATGCCAGATTCCTGAAACTGATCAAGGATATAATATGCTATCTTAAAACTGCTCTCTTATTCAGTATGTCTATTTAACCAATTAATTGTTATTTTGAGTCACTAAACATAGTTTTAAATTTTCCTTATCTATTAATTTTATACATTATAGGGTACTGATGGGTTATTAATACAATATATGCAATTGCTTTGGACAATGTCACTGTACATGTCTGTTCCTCCTATCTCATAATTTTGAAAGGATAGCAAACAAATGGAGAGGAATAGCTAGAGATTTCTAGTTTCTGTTTCTTGCTTTTAACTTATACTTGGTTATGCAGGCTAAACCTGTAGTTAATATAAGTAGTTATATAAACTACAATGCTACAGAAAAATATAAATATGCATATATACAAAGATTGAATACTTTCTTTTTATGAATAAAGAGAATTGCTGCCATTTATGAAGATTCAAATTCAAAATGAGATACATATTTTTTTGTTCAATATGATCTTGGTAATTATCTTTAAAACCTGAAGTAAAAATCTTTAAATTTATCATTGAACATATTTTTTATGTTTTTTATGAATAAATATGTACATATAGCTATATTGAGATTAATAAAAATGATGATTAAATAGCAATGGGAACACTAATACTTAGAAAAGATGGTTAAGTATATATGTACTTTTGCCTTTGTCATGTGTTTTAAAATTTTTCTTGCATTTAATTTGAAAAACTCTATTTTTCAAAATGTATGGTTTACAATATGAGGTTCTGATACACTTCTACAAGGTAGAAAGGTGAAATCCAGTTTATTAAATTAACATACTTACAACTTCCATACTTTTATTTTTGTAGTGAGAACATTTGAGATTTACTGAAAAATTAAGTTTAAAATTACAGCCCTAAACTTTTTTTCCTCCAAAGCTGAAATTAGGTGCTCCAGGTGCAGCTGTAAAGATGAGACCGAAACTATGTGGCCTTTGCCTCACCTGCCCGACTGGGCAGAGCCCCTCCCTACCCCTTTCCTGTATCTTGTCTCACCCGACCAGTTCCCTGTCCCTGAGTTCCTAGATAAGCCACAAACCTTCCCGTGATCTTGTGTGACCTTGTGTGAGACCCTGCAGTTTGGCACGTACACCCCAACGGCCCGGACCCTATGCTTCAGCCAATCAATTCAAAGGGCATCAACCCTGAAGTAGCACCTTGACAGTGGGGACTCCATTTTGGAGCACTTGAGACTGCATTCTGGGAAAGTAACCCCCACACCGTGAGACTCTGGTCTGAAACTATGATCTCAAATAGTCGGACAATAGCAGTGCACTACATCACCTTTGGCAGAGCACAAAACCCCTAGCATGATTGCTCAAGCTTGAAAGTAGAAAGGTTACACCTGGGTTAATGATAAAGCTGTGATTTGTCTATGTCTTACATATAATTTGAATTAATGTCAAGATCATAAATGATAATTGTATGATTGTAACTGGTATTGTCAAGATTATGATGGATATTAATTTCACCTAGGTCTTAGTTTATGTTGACCCCAGTAACTATGTACTCTCTTTTTGATCTTAGCAACCGTGTATAGAAACCGTGCATTCCCCCCCTCCAGATTTTGCAGTTTTTGCCTTTATAAACCCTATGCTGTAGTTCCTCGGGGCTGCTCTGTTCTGGTTTGATCAGAGAGCCCCAGCATGCTGGGAAAATAAAATAAAAAAATCCTTTGCAATTTGCATGAGAGAGGTCTTTTGGAGTCATCCCTCAGGTGGTGGGCATTCTCGACCTTAACAACCCCGAGAGCCATCCAACCATCTTAGTGGGTCCGTTCCCACCACTGGATGTGCCAATCAAATCTAGGAGATGTCCTTTGAATTTCCCACCAAATGAGATGATTTGCTGTGATGTAAAATGTCTCTAAAAACCCTGTAAAACCCTGGCCCTTGACTTCTCAGGGCTTCTCTGTTCTTGCGTGTTCAGGGAGCCCCAGCATGCTGGTTCAATAAACCCCCTGATGTTTGCATGAGAGTGTCTCTTGGAGTCGTTCCTTGGGTGGTGGACGCATTTCGACCCTAACATTTGGAGGTCCCACCGAGATTAAGGTCTGCTGCCTGTGAAAGCCTCCAACGGATATCTCTCGGGGTAAGTAAAGGCGCCTACTCTGGTATTGTGTGTATTTTGGTGTTTTGTGTATTCTGGTATTCTGTGAACGGGCCTGTTCTGGTTGCTGCAGCATTTGGTTCTGGGACTGGCTCCTGTCAGGTAGGATCAGACCAGGGATGACGTGGAATCTGTCCTGAGACTGGCTTCCGTCGGGTAGATTCAGAGTCAGTAGACTCTCTGAGTTGTTGGTTTTGGTGCTGTTAGTCTGTCTGTTCAGGTTCTCAGGTTTCTGGCTGGCTAGGTGGCTGTTGGGAAGAGGCCACAGGCCATAGCCCTGGGGGACGCCCCGGGGTGGAAAAGGAAGACTGGGGACGCCCAGCATTGGAAAGGTGTGTGAGCCTTTCCCAACTGGCTTCCGTTGGGTAGATTCTAGGTCTGCATCAGTATTGTCAGGGCGCTTGCAGCTCCGTGGGGACGCCTGCAGCTCCCATCTGGTAGATTTGGAATCTGCATCTGTATTGCCAGCAGTCACGCGACCGGTGGATTCTTTTAAGGTTTTTAAGGACACTCGTTGTGGTTGTTGTGTGTTGGTCTCTTTTGTTGTCTCTCTGTTCCTGTATATTGTGTTGTCTGATTTGTCTACTAACATGGGTCAGACTGTGTCTACGCCTCTGAAGCTCACTTTGGGTCATTGGTCTGAAGTGGGCAACCGAGCTCATAATCTCCCTTTATTAATTAAGAAAACCAAGTGGCAGTCTCTTTGTGCCTCTGAATGGCCAGCCCTTGGGGTAGACTGGACCCTTGAGGGCTCATTCCATTTACCACTCATTCGTAGAGTGAAAGAGGCCGTTCTCCAGCCTGGCCATCATGGCCACCCAGACCAACAACCCTGGTAACCAC